TGTGATGAGAGTTCCCACTCAGAAACAGAGGTGCTCCTTGGAGTCTGACCAACTCGGCCCTTGACCAAACTTGAGTAGGGCTCCTCTAAGTCATCTTTCTTTTTCTTTTTTGATGTTTGTTGTTGTTGTTGTTTTGTATTTTTGAGAAAGTGTCTCACTCTGTCTCCCAGGTGGGAGTGCAGTGGTGCCATCATGGCTCACTGCAGCCTCAACCTCTCGGGTTCAAGTGATCCTCCAACCTCAGCCTCCCAAGTACCTGGGACTACAAACATGCCTGGCTAATTTTTACACTTTTTTATAGAGATAGGGTTTCACCACGTTACCCAGTCTGGTTTTGAACTTCGGGACTCGAGTGATCCTCCCACCTTAGCTTTCAAAGTGTTGGGATTATGGGCATGAGCCATTGCACCCTACCTGAGTCCTCTTTCTGACTCTTGGACTCTTAGTTCAGTTTTAGCAAGAATTCTGCTGAGTCAGTTTAGCAAAAATCTCCTATCCTTGATATCTGATCACATTCCTCATTCCCTACCCTGATAGCTTATCACCCTGGCCTGCCTTCAGCAAGAATCCTAGTGAGTTGATCTATCAAGAATTGCCCCAGCCCTCATGTTTCCTCTTAGTACTTTTCCATCTACTGACCCCAACATTGCTCCTTGGCTATATAAATCTCCACTTGTCCTGCTATGTTTGGGGTTGAGTTTGACCCTTCTCCCCTATTGCAGAACCCCACTGCGGTGGCTCCTGCTTGAATAAGTCTTCCTTACCATCTTTTTTTTTTTTTTTTTTTTTTAGTGACATGCTCTCCTTCTTTCCCAGGCTGGAAAGCGATGAGGCAATGTCACACTGCCTTGCTTCTCTAAAATAACTGTAAGATGAAGGAAAACTCCAGTCATTGAAGAAAAATTTTTCTTTTCCTTTTTTTTTTTTTTTTGGGATTACAGGTGCCTGTCATCACACCCGGCTAATTTTTGTATCTTTAGTAGAGATGGGGTTTCACCATGTCGACCAGGCTCATCTCGAACTCCTGACCTCAGGTGATTTGTCTGCCTTGGCCTCCCAAAGTGCTGGAATTACAGGTGTGAGCCACGGCGCCCAGCCCATTACCATCTTTAACAATAGTCATGAATAACTTTTCATGAAGAATTCCCAGGATGGTGAACCACCTGCCACGTGAGCCTGTTCAATAATCAGGGATGAGGGATCCTTCACAGCAGCCTCTAAGAAACCAGGCGTGTGCCCGTTGGTCTCAAAGTCACCTCTTGGCTCCTCCTCCTTGCTGGGGCCTGGGCGCGGTTCAGCAGCCAGGAGGAAGATGGCTTTGCGTTTGTAATTTGTGATTTGCGTGTCCCCGCTCCTTGCTCAGCATTCTACCCTCAGCTCCTTGTTCACAGCCTGGTCCCCTGGAGCTCCATAAATACCTGTTGAGTGAATGAGAGGATGGAGGCTCCTGCAGAGAGAGAGGAGTGGAAGGCGTCTTTGGACTTCAGACTTGGCTTTCCTGGCAGAGGCCTCAGGTCAGGGAGGAACAACACAGAAACAAAGATGGCCTTGTCCTGGGCCCTTCCCTCCCCGCCCCACCGTCCTCCTCTGCATCCCACAGTGGCCTGGGGGGAGGTGGAAATGGACCCCTTTGTTCTACTTCCAGAATTCCACTCCCGCGGGGTGGAGGCCTGACTGCAGCCCCCCCCTTCCTCTGCCACTTCTTCCTAATCCTGAGGGATTCGCCAAAGCCTTGGAGACCCACACCGTAGGTCTCACTGTGAGGACAGGCCTCACCTCACAGGTAGCCTCAGAGATGGACATGGGTGCAGAGAGAAGAGGGGGTCCCCACCTGTTCCCTCCCAGTCCTCTTCTTCAGTGTCCCCAGGGCCTGTCACACAAGACAAACGAAACTGGGAGGCTCCGTCTAGAGTGGAACCCAGGTGAGCACTAATCCAGTGTGGCCTGCAGACCTGCTTTTCCCTGGTCCCCGACATGAGTAAATTCAGAAAAGGAGGGTCAGTGTTTGGAGATGTTAACATGATAGAGTACTTTTATGACTATTGAATCAAATACTTCTTCAAGGGTTTGAATGGATTATCAGACCATGGAAAGATACAGGAAACTTGAATGCATATTACTAAGAAGTGAAAGAAGTCCGTCTGAAAAGGCTGTATAGTACCTGATTCCAAGTGTATGACATTCCGGGGAAAGCAAAACTCTGGAGACAGTAAAAGGACCAGCAGCTGCCAGGAGTTAGGGGAGAGAGGCATGGCTGGGTGGAGCACAGAAGATTTCAGGGCAGTGGAACTACCCTGTATACTACTACAGTGGTGGATACATGTCATTACGCATTGTTCAAATTCATGGAATGGACGACACCAAAGGTTAACTCCAGCCAGAAGTCCTGGTCTCTTACCCCTGCCCCATTCTTAGCATTGGGCCTCAGTTTCCTTTTCTGCAAATTGAGGGGGTAGCATGATCTGACCTACCCAATTTGACAGTTCAGCTAATGTCTGGTTCTTTTGACAAATACAGACAGCCTCTGGCAATGAGGGGCCATAGACTCCCCCTCCAAACCTCACCATCAAGATGCTCCAATGAAAGCAGGTCTTGGGGAATTCTGCCAGCCAGCCACGCTCATTGGCAAGGCTGCACAAAATTGTATGTACGCTTGGGGAAGTCTTAGCTGTCCTCAGACTCTCAGACATGTAGCTTGCTTGAAAGGTTGGGGTTCTGAAGGAGCAGCCTGCATCTCCTTCAGACAGTCTCACAAAGTGGGGACCAGATTCTGATGCCTCATTGGTACAGAGGCAACGATGACTGTGCAGGGCTCCTAGCTGGCCACATTCATGAACATTATTTACTTCGCCAGTGAAAACTTATTTCAAACATCCTTTATGCTAATTAACCCTCGGGTGTAATTTTGATGACCACATTTGAAATGCTTTGTCAACACCTCTGGACTATGGATTCCTAAAGAACTCCAAAGGCAAAACAGCTGCCCTCCCTATGTATATTCAGTTAACCTATGAGCATGTGTATTATTAATGCCTAAGTATTTAAAAGTATATTACTACCCAGATGAACCAGCAAGGAGATAAATCACATGACTTCTGAGTTCCCTCCCATGCTAAATATATGTAAACTATTGTATTATATATATATAAACATATATATATATACATATATATATATATGTTTCTGCGTGTTTTTTTTTTTTCACTTTAATACTCCTTAAAGTCAGGGAAGGAAGGCAGAAGTAGGTTTTCAGATTTCGCCATCTCTCAAGTTGCAGGGACAATTCTGTGAAGCTAAGCCAGGCCCCCACTTGCTCCTGGTGTCCATCTAACTGATGCTCTCAGGTTTTATGCCTCCTCTCCTCTTCCAGTTGTTGCTGGCAATTTCTCATTCCTCGAGATGGCTGAGGCCATCTCTGTGACTGTCCCCTCAAGACTAGAAGCCAGACACTGTCCACACTTGTGGTGCACACCTGTCTTCCTTGAGCCTTGCAGGTACATAGGGAGGCCTGCGGTGGCGGGTGGAGGTGAGCAATAGGGTTCAGAAGGGAAGGTGGAGAGGGATGCAGCTAGGAAAAAAACAAAACAAAACAAAACTGATTCCAGAGCTGTAAGAAAGGTGCAGCCAGGCCTGAGTGAGGGAAGGGAAGGCCAGTCCCTTCTCTTGCCTGGCTATGGGACTGGGACAAAGTGGTTGGCTAAGAGCTATAGGGCTTCACTTGGAGAAAGCAGTTTGAGGGTACACAAGCAGCTGTGAGGGAGAGAAGAAACCAGACCGGGCCACGTAGGCAGTCCACGGAACGTTGGAGAGCTACGGTGAGGCCCTCAAACAAGGGAGGGGCTTACCCGGGGCAGTGGGCCAGCCCCTAGTGGACAGCTATGGTGCCGACAGGAGGACTCCTAGAGAAATGGAAAGATCATGAGCCTGAAGGGGAATTCAGTTTCTGGGAATGGGCAGATAAGAACGGAGAAAATGTCATTCTGAGATGTCACTGTAGTTCTTCCCCAAACACAGCTGACCCCAGGCAAGAGGCCAGACCCCAGCCTGTTCACAGCCCTCCATCTCTCCCCTGTTTCCAGGGCTGTTTCCACAGCCCCCTTCCACCCCAGCTCAGCACCTCCACATAAGTGTCTTTCCCCTCCTTTCCTCCATCCCTTGTCCCCACCACAGTTCCCACTCTGGCATTGTTCGTTGGCTTGGAGCCAGGGAATCTGTGGTCTGGGGAGGCAAGCTAGAAGTCTTAACAGCCCTTTCTCACAGGAACATGAAATGGCAAATCCATTTCATGTTCGGGAGGTTGAGGAACAGAGCAGTTTCTGGAGCTGGACTGCCTGGGTGTGAATGCAGCTCCACCTCTTAGCTACAGAGAGACCATGGGCAAATTACTGAACCTCATTTTCCACACCTGTAAAATACAGACAATAACAGCTTCCATCACCTACACTGTCATAAACACAAAATAGGAGTGTGTGCAAAGCTCTTAGCATAGTAGCTGGTGCACAGGCAGTGCCCAGCAAGAAGCAGTACTCCATTTCCTATGTAACCTCTTTACTCAGCTCCTCACCTCCACTCGTGTCTGGCCCAAACTATTCTCCATGCAGCATGGTGATCTTTTGAAAATATGCTGACAACCATCACTCTCCTGATGAAAACTCCTTAACAGTATCTCATTGCTAGCACAGCAGGCAGCCTGCGCAGCTACTGCCCACCGCCGCCCTGACTCGGGGCTGTGGTCACAGTGGCCTCTGCTGTTCTTCACCTCTCTCTACCTGGAACATTATTCCCTGACCCGCTAAGTCATGACTCAGCTCAAGTGTCATTTTCTCGAAGAAGCCCCTCTAACCACCTACTGCTCTTTTTCAGCAATAATCCTCAATCTGTAATTACTTCATTGATTTATTGTTCATGATCCCACGAGAAGGCAGCTCCATGAAGCCATCCAGCCAAGCGCTTGCTGAGGGAATGAAGGACACATTATCCACGGGTTTTAGGTGCTTTATAAATTAAACCGGTTCAGTGGCCTGCCCAGTGAGCCTGACCACCACAGTTCCAAGTTCCCAGCCCTCTGTACGGTAAGGCCTGGCTACCTAAGTGTAAACAAATATTACACATCAAGCCCAGTGGCCCAAAGTAAACATTTTTATTCTCAGTTCTGCCTTAGGGGTATCTAGTTTTGCAAGCATGAGTAAATGGAATCAACAATAATCCTCTCCTTAAATGTCTGGCATTAAAATTTGTCACTTAAAAAGTTTCTGGTTTTGCCTAAAGAAAGTGTGATTTGAGGGTGACCTGAAACAAGGCTTGAGGCTTGTGGACACATAGGGTTAATCGCCTTATTGCCTGCCAATTCACAGAGCAGTGAAAGGCCACAGGCAGCTATAAATAGCGGTCAGGCAGATCTGTCCTTCCAAGAGGGAAAGAACTTAGCAACAAAGAGAGACGCGAGGGGTGAGGCGGGCAAAGAATCATTAGCCCAGTTTCTGCCCGTGCCAGGGCATGTGACCCTTGGGAATGCCGCGAGGCCCAGCAGGGGAAGGAGAGGATCAACGCTTTCATAACCTCCAACGCCGTGCATCCCAAACCCAGACGGGCCTGGACCGACCTGTGCATTTACTCCTGAATGTCCTCGGTCAGCAGACACGGGAGCCAACAGGTGGGAAAACGTGTCCTCCAGAGTGCTCCTTTTTTTGAGGGGGACCCAGCTCCCAGGCAGGAAATGGCAGAGAGGAGGTGGATCCTTTCCCTTGGCGTGGCCTTCTGTCTTCCAGGGTTCACAGGACAGTCTCTCGGATGACCCCAATGAGGCTGTGTGGCCGCTCAGCCTCCACTCGCCGGGACCTCCTCTCGGCTCGGGGCCTCCCCGCCGGTGCGAAGGTGCTCAGGTCGCCGCAGCTCTGGAGGTGCAGCAGGCCAGGCTGTCTCCGCGAGGGCAGCGTGCGGGCCCTGGATGTGCTGGGTTGCAATGGGGCCATTATCTTTGGGAAAAGAGAGGGTGGGGAGAAGTTAAGTAAGCTTTACCAGATGTGGCCCTTTGACCTACCTCCTAGGTCCATCCACCTATCTTCATGTGTAATTGCTTTGAAAAAGAAAGAAAAAACCGCATTTTCCAAATGTAGAACTCACCTGGAATTCCAGGGGTTCTTTGTAAATCCTCCAAATGTTCTACCACTTCCGCTGTAGACCCATAAACCACACTTAACTGATTTGTCCGCTGCAATTTCTTGCTTTAACATTCTTCTCATAGCTTTTCTCTAATTTCTCTGAAGCCTAAGTCAGTGATCCTCACTGGCATCTGAACATTATTACTGGGTCAGGGAGGGACGGGTATTGTCAGAAACATGAATTCCCTGCTGAATTGCCACAGAATTCCCATAGCAATGGGAACAGTTAGCCTGGACTCAAGAACCTGCATTTTTAACAAGAATCCAAGTAAAAACCACTGGTATGGGATTGGGACCAGGTGATGGGTTTATAAAATGTCAACCAAGTCAACCAAGTATAGGCACAGTGGCTCACACTTGTAATCCCAGCACTTTGGGAGGCTGAAGCAGGTGGATTACTTCAACCCAGCAGTTTGAGACCACCCTGAGTAACATAGTGTGACTCCATCTCTACAGAAAAAAAAAAAAATTTTTTTTTAATTAGCTGGGCATGATGGTTCATGCCTGTAGTCCCAGCTACTGGGAGGTTGAGGCAGGAGGATCACTTGAGCCCAGGAGTTCTAGACCAGCCTAGACAACATCGCAAGACCTCGTCTCTACTAAAAGTAAGAAAACTTAGCTGGGCGTGGTGGTGTGTGCCTGTAGTCCCAGCTACCTGAGACGGTGAGGCAGGAAGATCACCTGAGCCCAGGATTTCAAGGTTGCAGTGAGCTATGACTACACCACTGCACTTTAGCCTGGGTGACAGATGGAGACCCTGTTTCAAAAGAGAAAAAAATCAACCCAAACCATCCAATGATGCTTCAAATGGATCTGATAATCCTTTAATAAGCAATATAAAAACTAGGCCAATTTATTTGTAAAAAGTCTTTAAGAATGATTCTTTTCGCTAAATATTTTGCAATGTGTCACAAACATAATTTTGAATATATAATAATATCACTCTGTAAAAATGGCAAAAATATGAAAAATTCCTCATCCAACTGGGATTGAAGAGGAGAAAACTGTCCCGTCAATTTTTTGTAAATTGCACAGCCTTGTCTGTTTGACCTGTAATAGTGTCAGCAGCTCGGGGAAAACTCGGGGCTTTACTGTTACCTAACATCACAGCACAATCATTTGGATGACTTTTTGTTTCATTTGTACCATTCTGAGCTTTTAAGGTCATTAAAAGATTATTCCCCTAAAGATGGGAAATTAAATTTTATTAACAATCTACTTAATTACATCTGTCTTTGAGGTCTGTCCTTGTCTCCCGATTAAGAAAAGTTCAACATTCATAGAAGTTGACTGTGCTACACAGTAAGTTAGGACAAGTGGTTTTGATATCAGTGAAAATTAAAATGGATCTGAAAGCTCCAATATGCGAAGCCAGCTAGAGTCAGAAATAACCGGTCTCCTTCTGCTGTCCTTACCTCCTTCTGCCTGGGAAAAGGTATGGAATTGTGAAACCACACCTCTAGGATCCAGTCCTGGAAGGCCCTGCAGATGACCCAAAATCTATCGCAACAATCTCAGCACCTGAACTTTTAAACTGCCTGGGGCACAAAGATCTAGCAACCATTTGTGATGATAGCATCTAGTGAACTGTATAAGTGCTTGTTCTTTTTCCCCAGAGTTATTTCCCAGGGAGCAAGACTTTGCAGAAGGTCCAGGCCCACTGCCTGGTGAATGCTCCAGCTCTTAGCTCAACAGAGCTTGGCAGCCTTCCAGAAGCAGCTCCTGTTTATTGGGCTCTTGGGGCCAGAGAGAGGGAAGGTGACAGAGAATGACATCTGGAGTAGCTAAGGGACACGAGGATGTAAAATGTTTCCCCCACACAGATTAGTAACTAGAGCCTGACCCGGAATCGTAACTGATCACTCTTTTAGAGTGCAAATGCAAGACGGTCTGTGGTTCATGTACCTCTTCATGCAAGGAATCATCAGATCATTCCTCTCCCTGAATCCCCTGAGAGACTGGGAGAGAGTTTGGCTTCTGGCTTCTGAAAGAAGAGGCCAGCAGGTAGAAAGGGGGAACAGAAGGGTAAGTGAGAAGGGTATTTACTCAATCTGAATTAAAAATTTACCTACATCCTGAAGTTGGTAATTACCCTGAGAAATTAGCCCACTTCAATTGAAGAAGTATTTGTTGGACATTTAATGCACAAAGACACAGAGTCACATAACATCCATACGCCATTGTGGGGTGCTGTCTACGGCATCTACCCCACTACCTGCAGCAATGAAGCCAACACCTAAAAGGGAATGGCTTTTTAAAAAGGTGGAGAGAAGGCTCCTTCCAGAAGGAAATACCATTCATTCAGAAATAGAGATATAGAGACTACCTAGTCCAACCCTTTACTTTAAAGAGGAGAAACCTGAGACCCAACTGGATTATGTTCGTGCCCAATTCTATCTTTTCTCCAAGTGGCTTCAGTTTCGGGGATTGCCTTGTATTTTTTAATCTATAAGAAGAAAGGTGTTTATTCCCTCAGGACCTGTTGGCTTATCTTGCCAAACATTTCATGGGAATGTGAACAGCCTCTTAGAATCCTGTCAATATTAAAATTCACCTAGGTCATCATTTTCAAAGGGCTGAGAAAACATGCCTTATCAAAGGAAACCTTCAATTCAGGAAATCAAATGTTGAATGCACTCCCCATTGTCCATATCCTCCGCTTTTATTCCTGGCATGCACTCTTTTCTTTTTGCAGACATGCTTCCACATCCCAGGAAAACGGGGTTCTCTTCCCTTGAGCCAAGAATGATGTGGGAAAGTTACCACACTTGAAAGCTCCACGGCTTCCTCTCTCTCTCTCCCTCCCCTGACCTCCCAACCCCATTTCCCTGAAGACTGTGACCATGAATTTACTCTGCCTTGGGCAGGAAAGCAGAGAAGCCACTTTAGCTGCTATAAAAATGAGTTATCTGATTCACATCTGAGATTAATAATAGAACTACCTGTTCTAGGAAACTGGCACTTGTGATGGCTTCCTCCATGTGCTCCTCATCAGACTTCAAAACAGATTTAATGTTTTCTACAAGTTCATGGATGTCTGGGGTCATGGTACAGGAGGACTGCTCCAGGAACCTCGCCACCAGCAGCTTGGTGTCCAGGTAGGATTTGTAATCTATCAAAGACCGCGGTCTGCCTCGCGAAGCCCTCGATCTCAAGCCTCTCCTCAGAGTCACCGCAGCCAGATCCAGTCTCCTTTCAGTCTGTGTCGCAGCTTCACAGCTGAGCACCGGGGCAGCTGTGGGCAGAAACAAACAACGCGAACCCATTGGCCAACCCCTTTTGAACACATGCCCGTACCTGAAAGCACGGACCACAAAACTCAACATGGAAAGCATCTGACAAATGCTGATAGCCATGCACATCCTGCTTTTCATCTTGCAGAAGGGGTGAAAACAATTATGACACAAGGTTATTCCCTGATGTCCAGTTCCAATAGGATATGGCCCAAAACATGTCATCGTGCCATGTGACATCACCCGCAAGGTAAAGCCAGATGGTGGAGAGGAGAATCCAGAATGCAAACCATAATGAAGTTAAGTTTCATGGGGTATGACAAACAGATGGGCATGGATGGGCCAAGCAGGAAAAATGTGGCTGACCCATGAAAGGATGTTCCAAGGAGCAAGGATGAAGTAGTCAATTAAGAGAGGAAAGGGCTGAAGAGACAAGACTTGTCAGATGAATGTAATGCTCTGATCACTTTGACTATACCTTTGTCCCAAACGTCCTCAAGGACATTGTACTGACTTGTGCTATCGATGCTCACACCATGGATATGAGGTAGATCTATAGCTATTACAGAAAGAGAAATTCAGATGCAGAAAAAGTACACATCATGCTGGAAGTCAACACAGGGCCTGGGAAATCCATCGCAGGCTCTAATTTCCATGGCTACCTACATCAGCAAGGGTGTAAAGACCAGCAGAATGCTTCTGCACTTTGAAGTGGGTGAAGCAAAACTCAGATCTGGTCATTATGTGTCCAGAAGCCAGCCAGCAGCCTTCAGCATACACAACACTGGCATCAGTCTATGAAGGCCTGATAAGCAGAAATTTAGAAATTCAAAGAAGACAAGAAGCAGGGGGCGAGAGAGCAGGTGGAAGAAGGGGAGCACTCCTTTCCTCTGGAGAAAGGCAGGCACGGGGAGCTCTAAACCAGGATTCAAGACTGTCCTCTCAGGCAGCCATATGCATGTCACAGAGAGCAAGAGTCTTCCAGAAGCACTCGCCAAAGACACTCATGTGTGAGGACAGAGTCAGGGTCTCCACTCTTCCACTTGAAGGCAACCTGGCACCTTCCACAATGGAGGGCTCCAGCAGCTGCTGTCTTCACCCCTGCAGGTCTGCAGAATGAGAAGGGGTTCCAGAAAGATTTCCCTAAGCTGTGCAAACAGCTAAGTTCCCGTTGAGGCTGGAGTCCTCAACTTGCCAGGTAGGGTGTAGGAGACCCACAGTGAAGGCAGGTCTTGGGAATCAGAAGCCAGGCTGCCCGGCCACTGTGCTTCAGAGACACACTCAGTACCAGGCGGCAGGATTTCCTCTCCACTCAGAAGCTGCTGTAGAGACAAGAGGAATGTTCTCTCTGGCTCGAACATGGTCAGTCCAGAGCTGTGGCAAATAACACACACTGTCAGACAGGCAGAACCGAGACTGCAAGGGCTCAAGACAGGACCCTGGAGAGAGCAGGGTGGAGGATTATCAAAGTTTTATTTGCATAGGTGTTTTAGAGGAGCAGAGGTAAACTCTGCTAGACTACTTCACAGGAAGAAGCTGGTGCTGGTGGAGTTACAGGAGGTTTTAATTTTCTTCCTTTAGTTTCTTTATTTTTTTATAATTTTCTACAATGAAGAGATATTTGGAGATGTTCAGATATTCATATGTTCAGGAAAAACTCAGTGTTGTCATTTTAATTTTTAATTATTCAGGTAACAGCTATACACAAACAAACTTAACAGAGAGGAGGTGAAGTGTGTGGGTGTGTGTATTTCATTCTATCCAAAGTTCTAAAAACAAGGTCAGATTTCAATAATTTAATCATCTACTCATACATATTAAATATATAACAAATTATAAAAGAGGGAGTATACAAAAATCTTTTTGACTTTTTTTAAGACAATGCATATTCCCATAGGATTGCAGCATCTAGAAGTCAGAACTAGGTGTGCATAACTGTCTTCATGTAGTACCTAGCATAGTATCATGTACAACCAAATTCTTTTGATGACAATGACTTAAAAAACAAAAAACAAAAAAAAAACCCTACCATCTTTTTTTTTTTTTTTTTTTTGATACGGGAGTCTCACTCTGTTGCCCAGGCCAGAGGGCAATGGCGCAATCTCGGCTCACTGCAAGCTCCGCCTCCCGGGTTCACGCCATTCTCCTGCCTCAGCCTCCCGAGCAGCTGGGACTACAGGCGCCTGCCACTGTGCCCGGCTAATTTTTTGTATTTTTAGTAGAGACAGGGTTTCACTGTGTTAGCCAGGATGGTCTCGATCTCCTGACCTCGTGATCCGCCTGCCTCGGCCTCTCAAAGTGCTGGGATTACAGGTGTGAGCCACTGCGCCCGGCCCCTACCATCCTTAAAAGACATGGTAGATGTATAATCCTAACATGGACGTAGAATATTTTACTTTCCCAAGACCTCATAAACGCCTTCAAATGACCACTTAAACTGCAGGGTCTTGAGCTGGCCAGAGCCACCCGCCTTCACCTGGCTCCTTTAAGCAAATAAGCACAGAGCCCCGCGCAGAGCTTGGGGAATGACATCACCTCTGTCCTCGGAATGATGGAGCACAGGGTCACTCTTTGACCTCGTCCTCAGGGGTGGGAGGGCTCTCCGGCTTCTCACAGGACGCACCAGGGTTGAACTGGGAGTTGACATGGATGCGTTTTCTTCTGCAGGTATGTTAGGAATGGCCCCACCTGATTAAAAAAAAGAAAAAAAAAGAGGCGAAACATAAATTATTTCACCAGCTGTAGTCCTCAAAATGCGCAGGAAACACCTGTGAGCCTGAACCTGCCCGGGCAAGGGTAACGCAGTTAATAACATTTACTCAGGCTGCTGGCCCAGTAGGTTTTTATATCACTGCGCTATGGGAAAAGTTGCCTTTCCAAACCACCCCTCCACACCTAAAACAAACAAACAGAAAAATTTACATCCAACAGCAAAATAAAGGAGCCATGCCAAAATGTCAGGCTGTTTTTCCCAAAGGTGCTTAGACTCGTCTCCAGGGAAGCATCCTGGGGCAGTACGGAGAAGCACCCTGACCTATCACGATGAGCCTGGTTCTGGGAAAGTAATACCTGCACAGGTGAGGTGGCTGCTCTGTGGGCTGCAGAACTCCCAGAAGGCTAAGTTAGAGAGTCAAGTGTCCACTAAACAAATCCGTAAAACCCCGCGGGAACTGGATAATTTATGCTCATAAAAATAAAATTGCATCATTCGTGAGCCTGAGTTGCAATTCGGGAAACTTTTCAAAATGGAAAAATTCGCTGGGCACAGTGTCTCATGCCTGGAATCCCAGCACTTTGGGAGGCCGAGGCGGGCAGATCACCTGAGGCAGGAGTTCGAGACCAGCCTGGCCAACATGGCAAAATCCTGTCTCTACTAAAAATACAAAAATTAGCTGGGCATGGTGGCGGGCGCCTGTAGTTCCAGCTACTCAGGAGGCCGAGGCAGGAGAATCACTTGAACCCAGGAGGCGGAGGTTGCAGTGAGCTGAGATTGTGCCATTTCACTCCACCCTGGGCAAAAGGAGCGAAACTCTGTCTCAGAAAAAATAAATAAATAAAAATAAAAATAAAGTTAAAAAATAAAAAATGAAAAATTATGAACATACTTAGGAGACAGAACACTGCTTCATAATTCTACTTAGGATGGAAGGTGAACAGAACACAAAGTATTACATTACACATAGTACTGCTGAAAAATTACCTTCATCTAAAATTGCTAAGAGTTGATCCATTATTTATTGCCATTTGCGATTTTGTCCTGCTGGACAATTTTCTGTGCCACTTAAAACCTCCCCAAAGAGAGAAGGCCATAGCAATGTTCCCTTAAATTACAAGGATAAATGTAAACTGACTCTAGTACTTACTATAGTACTGAAAACCAGAATTCACTAACTGCTCAGGCAGCATGACCTGGGCCCTAGGTTATAAATGACACAGCACAATCTCACTGCAAATTCCCCCTGCCAAAACTCTAGCTAATTTTAATAGGAGGAAGAAAATTATAGATCAGAAAACACAGGAATACCAAATCAAACGCTGTAACCTATTTCATGGTTCCTGAGAATAGTCTGGTTCATAAAAATGTCTAAGGATATCTTTTTTCAGTTCACGTATTTTCTCCCATTTATAAACCCTAATAGTTGATGGCATTTTTGCACCTGGAGAAAAAGGTAGAGCTTGAACTATTTGCTGCAAGAATATCTGCCCTCCAGCACAATACCAGACAAGATCATTATTATTATTATTATTCATTTGTAGAAACAGGGTCTCTCCATGTTGTCCAGGCTAGCCTCAAACTCCTGGCCTCATGTGATCCTCCCACCTCGGCCTCCCAAAGTGCTGGGATTACAGAGATTAGCCACCTTGCACAGCCTATTTCATCATGTTTTAATCTACTGAATCATGTCACAGTGTATCTATTACCTTGAGTCACTTGTGTGCAGCCCGGATCCAGTGGGATCATAGCAGCTTCTGATCCTTCTGCCATTTGGAATGAAGATCCCTGCATCACAGGAAAAAGAGGGTTATTTTGTTGATGTTTAACTCACCGCTCATCAGACCCAGTTAACTCCTTAAAAAGATGTGTGGGGCCTGGTCTCCCTGCTGTTCTCTGGGGGCAGGGGTTGGGGAGATGGTGTGTTTCCCACTTGTAGTCAATGTGCTTAGAGAGACGTGAGACAGACAGTACCTGCTCCTGGTCCATCTGGCTCACCACAGCTTCATACGGCGGCGGGGGATCCAAAGGACAGAACACTTCCACACCTTTGATTCGAGCTCCGTAGATGTGTGGCAGGGGAATAACATCAGGACCAACCATCCTAGGAAAAGGAACTCGGCGTCAGAAAGCACGTGCTACAGACTGGCCACGTGACTGCAGTGATGCCTGGATATTGGCTTCGCTCTAAACCATGGGCAAAACCACTCACCTCTCCGTACCATGGTCTGCTTGGCCAGGAGAGGGAGAATAACAGAAGCTGCTCTCTGACGAAGTGGCCAGAGTTCCTTAAGCAAGTGACAGTGTATAAAATGCAACCCCATCATTCCTTTAAACCCATCAGTCAAAAAGCAAATAATCCACAGAGACACAGAGCAGATGAGTGGTTGCCAGGGGATGGGGGAGAAGGGAATGGGGAGTGACTGTTTGAGGGGTATGGGGCCTCCTTGAAGTATTGAAAATGCTTTGGAACTAGATAAAGGTGATGGTTACAAAATAATGTGAATGTACTAAATGCTACTGAATAATATACTTTGGTTAATTTCATTTTATATGAGTTTCACCTCAATTTAAAAAACAACTAAGGATTCAGGAAAATTCAATTATTTCTTACATTCTACATGGCTCTTGTTTTTGTACTGTGGGTAAAGAACCGTCAACAGCAAAATTCAAAATAATAGCAAAATCCTCCACAAGATTTCTCACTAGTGTTGACAGAAAATTCCACAAATCTCTGCCCAAGGTGCTAGATGATCTAGATAATGATGAACCTAAGTTTTAAAATAATTTATAAAATACATATAAAAGCCAGAAAACCTGTATTCCACTATCAAGTATCAAAGAATGAAAAAAAAAAAAAACAGCAAAAGTTTGTTCTTGAAATACAAAGAAAGGACTTTAAAAAGCTAAAAGAAATGGATGAGAAAACAGATTCTGGGGCTAGTTGCTTGCAGGCACTGCCTTTTGGGGAGTGGTGTTCTCTGAATTTATAGTTGTTTCATTTTATTCTTTGTGGCCATGTACAAAATGTGATTGGTGGAAAAACACATTTGAAAAGGATGTCATCTTCTTTCTTTCTCACAATAAAACTTCTGGAATTCTGGAACTGAGAAGAACGAGACTCTGCAACCTGAATGAAAAGATGAGAATGCACTCCCTCATTTTCACCTATATTTGTCTGTTCATAAGCAAGGCTCTCATCCCTTGCTTGACCTGAAAGGGAAGGCAGAAGGTGATGTGCTAACGCCTGACGTGGAGATGTTTGCAGGTTCAGCACGCAACACGTCAAGCCTCTAGTTGAATGCGAGGCACTAGCACAAAGGGTCCCTTTGTTGGGGAGGGGTCCTGGCAAAGTTATCAAGAAAGAGAGATTCTCCCCTTAGAGCAGGACTTGCCAACAGGCTTCATTCCAACTCCCATACTCCACCGAAACTGTTTAAGAACTATAAATGCTGGGTGACTCTGAGAAGCCAGACCCTTCTAGGATCTAAGAGTGAAGATTCTTTCCTGGCAAATGAACAGTGCAATTTGTTTTCATCAATGAGACCTATGGACTTCTATCCTCTCTAGAGGGCCAGCCTTCCATCTTTAATGAGCATAGCCCCCATAAGCCATCTTCCTAGCACTTACAAACACTTGACTTTTTCTCTCCAACAAATGACACCTGTATTTCTTTGCTGCTGTGTCCCCTGCCTGGAAAGTTTCTATCCCCAGCTTTGTTACCTGTTTCTTAGCTCTGATGGTCCCTGTTTGGCAGTCCCAACACAATGGGTACCTATGTGTCCAGAGAGAGAGGAGGGGCTTGCTGAGGGCCAAGAGGTCAGAGGAACAGGCCCTGTTTTAGATCCTAAACTATTGTAGAATTTCTTCCAGAAGAATAGCTTGAGAAAGGGGGGGCATACTTTATCCAAGTTGACCACAAAATAAACAGCTTCTATGCTAGTTTTGATAATGCCCATAAAAGCCTCACTTTGAAGGAAGATGCTGCTAGAGTTGACATAGAAGAAAAGTTCCTTTCCAATTAAGCAATTGCTTGTTTTACCTCGTTTGTGTTAACGAGGGTCTGTGGAGGGAAATGGGTCTGCTCATACTGGCAGGTTGTTTTTTGTGTGTGTTTTGACTACTGTTTCTTTCCTCAGATCCCCATGGCTCTCAGTCCTGGCAAGGTGGGTAGAATCACCTTGGGAGGTTCTAAAACTCTGGATAGCCCAGGCCTCACTTCTAGAAATTCTGCTCTCATCGCCTATGGTGGGGCCCAGGAATCTGCCCGTTGTCAGCGCTCCTAGGGGATTCTAATACACCGCCAAGATGGCGCACCATTGCAAAAGCAAATGGATAACGGTGATTGAAATGAAAGCCCTGTTCTACTGGGAAAGTTGATCAAATTTTTATTAAGAATGAGGGTCTTCAGAAGACAGTTGCCTAATAAGGTCAGGCTAAGGTTAAGAGCTAAGTGTTTCTTAAGAGCAGGACACATACTGAGAGCATTTTAAAACCCAGAACTAACACTGGGAAAGCCCAGTCCAAGATGCTCTTTTCAGAAAGCTTCTTAGGTCCATTATCTCATAACAATGCTCCCCGCAGCCACATGACAACGAAGGTGAATGAGGAAACTGAGGCTCAGAAATGGTGAGAGACTCATCCTGGGTCACCCTCTGCAGAGACTCTAGAGCCTGGGCTCTTTTGAATTCATGACCAAGTCCCCAGGAAGCCTTCACTGGTGCAGGCTCAGGAGCACTGAAGACGGAAATGCGAAGCATGTTCTGCTTTCAGGCTACAAATAGGCCCTGAAGACTTACTCAGGGGGAAGGCAGCAGCGAACACACCGTTGACCAGAGAATCCTCCTCCTCCTGTACTGGAAAACTGTGCCCTGTGACTGGGTACAGGGTTGCTGCTCGCGGAGTGGGAGACAGGGAAGGGCCCTCCCGCCCCCTCTCTAGAGCTGAGCACAGACTCAACCCCAGCATTGCCGGACTCCGCTTGAATTTGGATTTGGAAATTCTTAGGAAAGGAAATGAGTGGGGTTTTGTGGGGGCTCTGCTTTAAGACATGCCCATGTCAACCATGTCAATGCCCAAGACCCCCTCAGTCTTCAGTTTTCTTTAATAGGGTACATCCCCAGAGTAAAACCCAGGTCCATGTTCAAGAAATAAGTTGGAGACTCCTTGATTCCTGGCTCAAGCCAACTTCTGAGAAGAAAGACACCCCGGAGTAGTGGAGGTGGGGTGCACGGCCCCCTCCTGTATCACAAATCAATTCACAAAGCAGCGAATCCATCTTTGGACAGAAACCTCAACTGCAGTCAGGCTTCCGTTTATGACAGTAACTCGAGAAGCCTTTTCTCAAGGAGATGCCAACGCATGAAGTGGTTGTATTTATAGAAGTTAAATCAACCTCTTCTGAGAGGTCATAATACCTTACAGGAAATGGGGAGCCTCTGTTGTGTGAAAACTCTGGATAAAACTGATCGTAGAAATAGTAACAAAAACATTCGTGAATATTCTTGCCTGCCTGCTTATGAGAAAGAAAATTACCAGCTGAGGTTAAACCATTAGTGTCTATAAAGTTGTTTATACTGTGAATCTAGCAAAGTTGGTCACATTTTAAAATATTTTTGATAGGACATGTATTTAAATGTGAATAAATTCAGCCCTTTTGAAAAGGAACGTGGACTGCACTCTGATATTGGTAAAATTTCCAAAAATTAAGGTGTTTGCCCACTGGCAATATGATTATAGGGCTCTGGGCACGTTTTAGACTGGGCAATGTCTTCTTTCTCACAAGACTGTTTAGATTTAACTCCCTCCTTCTGCCTTCTTTCTAGAAAGTTCTGAATGATAAAGCCCTTGATGAGAAGCTTGTCTGTTTTCTTCCAACCTAGATTTGTCCAGAGGTTGTCTCAAGACTCAGAGAGACAAATCCGAGGATGTACCTAGATCTTGAAGAATGGAAATATCTGCAGTGATGAGCACTATTACAGTGAAGCAGAGAAGAGAAAGGAAAGCGAGGAGACAGGAAGGTCGGGAGTGCTCAGAGCACACTGCTGGATGGCTCAGCTCCTAAACCCACATGAGTCACTTTCCCCTTCTGCCACTGCAGAAACTAAATCTGTCTGTTGCCTCCTCCTAGGTCAACAGAGTGCTCATCTGCAACCTCAGCGTCAAAGAATTCCTCTTATTGGAGAGGGTATTTCTCATCCCCACCAAGAAATATCAGTTATTTTTACTATCCTCCAATGTACCCTCTACAGACAGCCTGAGATGGTGCTAAGATTTTCGCAAATGTGTCCGCAGGTACAGAAAGAACATGTGTTTTGCTGCTGTATCTCTTCATCCTCTGTCATTCTTGGCTCATTTCCTGAAAGATTAGGGAAGTCATCCCAGCCCCTGAGGCTGTGAAATTCCAGTAGAGGCCACTCCCTGAACACCAGAGAGGCCAAGCTGTCCCACAGGCCTAGCCCAAGCCACCTGTCACCCAGCTGACACCCCCTCCAGCTTTGCGGTCATCTCTGCCGCTGCCTGGGCAAGTGAGCTGGGGAGGGTATAGAGGTAGGGTTCAGGTATAACTCTAAGGGACGAGTCAGCAGCTAAGTCACTGAAAAGAACACTAACAGTGTCTGGGTGGCAGCCCCACTGGTGACCCATCTCAAAGTCACATACAGTCACCCTGGACATTAGAAAATACTTCTCTAAAAACCTCAAGCTCAGCACCAAGTTGGTTTGATAAGTCTCTACATGTACTACAGGGATTAAAAAAGTAGAAATTTCTGGCCCTCTGAATATGAAGCCAAAGACACTAGTATTTTCGTGGAATTGAGAGATTCTCTTTCAGAAAGTTCAACAGAGGTTTGCTTATCCTTTAAACTCAGCTTAAGGTCACTTCTTCCAGGAAGCCACCTCTGACTGCCTCGCCACTCTGGGTGAGGTGGACCTTCTCTGTGCACCCAAAGTCCCTCTTTTGAATACTACTGTGATCCTTCCAACACATTTTAATGACCTAGACTGTGAGCTCCTTAATGGTAGGCGAGGAAGCAGGTCTAGCTCATTTTGAATTCCAGTAACCCAGCACAGAGGATTCTATGTTTGTTGAATGAATAAATGAAGTCATTCTTTTAAAAAAGGTTTGTTTCTAGAAGTTGCTAACAATCAGACAAATATATGTGGCATTTCAATGTACCAATAAAAATCCTTGATATTTAAGAAGGTCAAAATTTTGAGTTTGAAATTTGAAAAGGAAAGTAAGTACAGTATCTATTTTTTCTAGACCAGGGAGAGACAATTAATAATTAATCTCTTTTTAATGGCTAGGAAGAATTTCATGATTGTTGAGACCTGCTGATGGTATTACAATGAAACATCGATTTGGCCTAACTGGGAGTGTTTCCAAGGCAACAGTGACTCTAAATCATGTCAAATTACAGCTGTTATCTCCCTGGGTGTCAGTTTCCCTTAGAAAGCTAATTGAACTTGAAAATGTCTACCTTTAGGTCAAAGTTTAACTTTTCTTTGGATTCATCTGTTTTATCAGACAAAAAGAGACAGACAAAGTAAGACAGAAAACAGAGAGAGTGACAGAGAGAATAGAAACCCCTGAAAAACAGCACAATTGTTTTTCAGTTTTCTAAAGAAGGCTGGCAGAGGTGGACTCTCTAAAAGCCATACCTCAGGGTTCACTAGCTGATTTTGTCACTCAATGGGCTAATGTTCCTTAAGTCAGAAACAATTTTTCTTTTTCTTTTTCAAAGCAAAGTGAGATCTCATGCTGAGAGTTCTGGAGACACTTCAGTCTTCAGAACCTACAGCACCCCACTCAGACTGCAGGGGAACTCAGGAACGATACCTGCGGTTCATCCGGGGTGTGCACGAGTAAAATGTGGCAAAATAGGAAGGGGGAGGCACAGGCGGCACAAAATCATCAGGGTCCGGGATGCGTCCATGATCCTCCACTTCTTCAGCAGAAATCTGGGATTCATCCTAATTAAACAGCAGCTCGGTTAGTGAAGAGTCTTCATTACAAAGGCACGGGGAGAGAGGCAGTGGAGGACACGAAGGGGTCCATGGGCTGGCTCAGCGGAAACATGGCCATGACTTACGATGCAGGATCTCCTGGTTGCGAATATCTGGAGGTAGCGGAGGGCGGCGGCCACCAAGCAGACGGTGGTGGTCAGGGCATTCAAGGCACACAGGGCAAAGAGGACTTTCTGGGGCAAGGAAACAAGGGCACCACTAAATCCTTCAACACACATCACCAGAATATCATGTAGAAAATCTTAAAAATAATAATAACGCTGCCTCCATAAGACAATTCTCAGGAGAGGCTGCATGTAAAGGATTTAGGTGGTGTCTGGCTCGTGGAAAGCGCCCACATAAATGCTGGCTATTATTATGACCCTCATGCATTAATGCTCACTTCTTAATTCCAAAAACTTTTCTTAGAAGCTCCCGGTCACAGAACGCCCTGGTATGACAGTATTTCTTTTTGCAAGCATCAGAATACTGTCAGGAAACACTCCTTCCAGGAGAGCAGTGAGTTTCTCTTCTGAGGCTGATTTCCCCAGGGATAGCAATTCCCAGCCTCCTCCCTCCCACAGCCTCCCACCCGCACAGCGCACTGCTTAATTTGTGGCCACTGATTCTATTTCAAGAGCAATTGGCTGTGCGGCCCCATGCACACGACGAGGACGCTGCAGGGGCCGGCCCAGCCAGAGTGGAAATAGGACTTCTCTCCACTAAACACACATCTCAAAATAGCAAAAGCCATTCCAAACACTTCTGTTGGTACAGTCCTGGCTCCTTTAGTGGGGCTTTCCCCAAGCTAAGTCCTGGCTCCGACAGTTTGGGGGTGACTCAGCTACCGAAAATGCAGAAGCCATGGAAAGCAGGCCATTTCTACATCCCACACAACCCAGAGCTGGTAGCTTGGAACAGTTCTCTCTTTGCTTGGAGACTCTTCCTCCCCACCAAAATGAAACCCAAAACAACTATCTAAAGAAAACCGGTGGAAGTGGATTCTCTAAAAGCCATGCCTCAGGGTTCACCAGCCGATGTTGTCACTCACTGAGCTAATGTTCCTTAAGTCAGGGCACAAATTTTATGCAACTCCCTGATGAAGGCTAATTTTGTACTTCTCTTCAACTGGGATCATCCGTTTGTTTAATCTCTTTTGCTTATTATAGTTGTTGCTTATTAAACAAGAGCTAAGGTGCTTCAATTCCCCCATATTTTCTGGCCAATCTCTCTCCTTAGTCTATGTGTTGCAGACTGGTAGTACTCAGTGGTGCATATGACCCACGTAAGCAAACAAATGAGCATCAGAACAATGACACATGAGTGTGCAACTTAAAGGTTTTGCTAACAGCTACACCGTATACATGTGTGTATGTATACATACGTACGTATGCATATGTGTGTGTGTATGTGTATACATATACATATATAGAGTCAGGCTCCTTTCCATTTTTTACTATCTTACAGTTCTTCAGCACAAAGAAGGCTGTCCATACATAATTTAACACACACAATGATCTGTGGTTCTTTCTGCATTCAATTCTGTCTCTGGGGTCACTCACATGTGCTTTCAGCAGCTTAACTGTTTGAAGCAGGTAACAGAACAGGAATATTTCAAGTAATTTTGCCTTCTTTGGGGGCTCCGTGGTGTATTTACCGTGGGGATGGGAATCTGTTCGAGGTACCTTAAGTAGAAGGTGAACAGCACTACAGGGCTGAACTGGAAAGAGTTTCAAGGCGTTTTCTTTGTCTGTGCACTTGGCTGGTTGAAATTCTTCACAACAGAAGCAAATCTTGCCTTCACCTAAGTCCACCTTAATGGAGGAAAGGTAGAAAAATACTTTAATTATTAAGAAAACCACCCCGGCTCCACCATGGAGCACCAATCCTGTAGAATGAGGTTATGGCAGGGTTCTGTGTCAGGCAATGCCTCTCTCGGTCAGGATGGGCTAGGGTATGGCATGGTAACAACCAAAACCTACACCTCAGTGGCTTTCCCAAAACAAAGGGAATTTTAATATTCCTCCTTTCTCCTTTAAAGTCTCCAGCTGAGAACTTCCTGTTTTTACACTAATCCCGTTTAGTACTAACAAATAAGCAGCTAAATGAGACGAAGTATCAGCCTCCATTCTGCTCATGTACACGAGTCCCACTCTTCCCCAAAAAGAACCAAACTCACTTTCTTTTTCCAACACAATGCACTCTGATTTTCATTTTTTGGACTTGGTGCAAGCCTCAAGATCTTAACCTGAAAGCTCTCTCTCTCTCTCAGACAATACTAGGCATCATCTTACAAAGTACTCCCTTCCCAAACAAGTCCATTCTTGATAGAAAGCGTTTAGTTAAGTGGGAAACCAGGCCTATGTGGGCTGCCATGTGAGTGCTTTATCCATATAACATAGATGTCCAGCTCTTCAGAAACTTCAGCTACCTAGAACCTCTGCAGTGAGCCAGTCTGGATGGCAAAATTTTCCAGATGGGTGAAATTTAATCCTTTTAAACAAACCTATTTGAAAGTTTACTCATTATACAAATGATCATGAATACAACTAATTTTCCCACTGGATACAAAGAAGCCCTCAGACTGTACAAAACGATTCCAGGCAACTGTGCATTGTGCGTTCCTGCTCCCCTATTCCTGATCCTTGCAGAATCTAATACCTTCACCTCCATTCTTAATCCCATCTCTGCCCAAATATTTCTAAAAACTTACTCTTGCTTCTCATCAGTCACTTTAGCCTATCCACAAACAAATCTGTAGAAGTCTCCCTGATCCTAAATAATGAACATCCACCCTGCATTCTTGATGCTATTGCCTGAAGAGGTCAGATCTTTGTCTTCCCCCCGTCGCCTTTCAACAGTAGCATTCTTAACCCTACCAGCACATTTGAATTTTCTGGAGAGCGTTTTAAAAACCGATGATGCCACCTTTAGCACTCAGGGAACTACAAATTAAAGTGACAGCAAGCTCTCCCTTTGGCCTCATCAGACTGGCAAAACTTTAAAGAGAGAGAAACTCTCTTTGCTGGTGGAGATGTGGAGAGCCACTAGTAGAAACTCACCAGTCACTGGGGAGTTGAAGCCCTTTAATGAAGGAACTGACTATCCATTTTAAATTATAACTACGTCCCCAACCACTTTGGAAAATTCTTTAGCACCACATGATCCAGCAACTCCATGCCTAGGTATTCACTCAAGAGAAATGAAAAGTGCCTCCCCAAAACAACAATGCTCACAGCAGCTTTGTTCATAATACCCCCAAACTGGAAACAATCTAAATGTCCATCAACAGGAGAACAAAAAAAAAAAACAAAAAACAATTCTGGTATTTTTATAAAATGAAATCGTGTCCTGAAAAAAAGGAACAAACAACAGATACAATATAAAAATATGGATGAAGTTCAAGAACATTACTGAGCAAAATAAGTCAGACACAAAAATGTTCAAACCATGTGACTCCATCTATGTGAAGTTCAAGGACAGGCAAAACTAACCTATGGTGAAAGAAATAGGAACAGTGGTTGCCTATGAGAGAGTAGAGACTGCCTGAAAAGAGAAACTAAAGAACTTTTTAAGGTGATAGAAATACTGTTTGGAGTATAACAAACAATATTTTGTTTGCAGTATAGAGATTGGAGTATAACATGAGTGTATACATTTGTCAAAATAAATGTATACATTGGTCAAAACTTATAATGAACTGCACACTTAAGATTTGTGTTTTTCACTATAACTTTTACCCCAATTTAAAAACAATGGATAGAACAATAAAATGGTTGAATTTGTAATAATAAATGAGACAGGCAGGAGACAAGATACTGCTGAGAACAATTCCTTGTCCTGGGAACCTACTCCGCTTAGAACTAAAATCTCCCTGAGGATATACAGAATGATATTAATGGCAGCACTGTGTCTATTGGTCAAAACCCAAGCCACAGCAGGCAATAACAAAATAAGGAACTAACTTGGTAGAAGAAATTAAGGGTGTTAGTCTGTATTTACTCTTCTCTAAGTGATACATCTTTAAGTGATAAAAACAGGATGCAGGGAAGTACATACAATATGCCCATTTTTAAAAAATCATGAACAACCCCACCCCATACATACTTATGTAATATTACATGACCATGAAAACATTAAGAAATATAATTTCCCAGCCTGTTACTAAGGATTTGGGGCGACAGATACAGGCAGAGCGGGAAAGAGGAAAGAGCAACCCCTTGCCCGAAAAGGTTTCATTTGTCAATAATTTCCCCAAAGGAAAACAACACTTATAACATGATCCTGTTGACTATGTGCATTTTTGTGCATAAAGAGATGCTTAACACATGGCCAAACTGTTATCCAGGGATAATGGGAATTCAAATGATATTTAAGTTCTGCCTTATACTTTCATGGCTTGCCCAAACTTTTATAATTATATCATCAGAAATAATCACAGAGTTGGTTTTGTGGTAGAAAAAAAATTTATTAAAAATAGACTTAGTGCAAACCATATTCTGATATACAGAATATATAAAGAACTTCTACAACTCAATAACAAAAAAACAAATAACTCAATTTTAAAATGGGCAAAAGACTTGTATAGACGTTCTTCCTTTAATGAAGACATACAAATAGCCAGCAGGCATATGAAGAGACTATCAACATCACTAATCATAAGGAAAATGCAAATCGAAACCAAATGAGGTATCACCTTATACTCATTAGAATGGCCACTTAAAAAAAAAAAAAAGCAGAAAATAACAACTGTCACTGAAGATGTGTGGAAATTGGAACCTGTGTGCACTGTTGGTGGAAATATTAAATGGTGCCGTTGCTATGAAAACCGATACAAAGCTTCCTCAAAAAATTTCAAATAGAATTACCAAATGATCACTTCTGGTTACATATCCCAAAGAATTAAAACCAGGATCTCAGAGACATATTTGCATGCCCATGTTTATTGCAATGTTATTCACAATAACCAAGAGTAGGGGCCAACTTAAATATCCATCACAGATTAATGGATAAACAAAAGGTATCATGTACATACAATGGAATATTACATAGTCTTAAAAAGGAAGGGAATTCTAACACATGCTGCAACATGATGAACCTTGAGGAGATGATGCTAAGTGAAATAATCCAGTCACAAAAAGACAAACAGTGTATTATCCTACTTGTATGAGGTACCTAGGGTACTCAAATTCATAGAAAGGGAATGTGAAGTGGTGGTTACCAGGGGCTGGAGGATGGGGAGCTGTTGTTGTTTAATATGCATAGACTATCAGTTTTGCAAAATGAAAAGAGTTCTAGAGATTGGTTGTATAATAATGTGAATATACTTACCTCTACTGAACTGTAAACTTAAAAATGGTTAAGATGGTAAATTTCATGCCATGTATATTTTACAATAAAATTTTTTTCTTTTAAGTTCAGAGATGGTACAAGTCCACAACCTCTTACTCACAATGCTGAAATCCAAAAAGCTCTGAAAACCAGAAGTCATAATAACAGCCTGCTGTCCCAGACTCCACTGGCATGCTATATAATAAATAGTATATGCAAAATATTTAATCTTCTAAAATTGGAAAAACTCTAAATGCTGACACACACCTGGCCTCCAAAGGTTTCAGATAAAAGACTGTTGACCTGTATTCTGGCATTATCCAAATACCCATTTTTTTTCTGTTTAGATGAGGACAGTCAGAGACTGATTGCTTGTGGACACCGGATCCATCTATTCACTAACTAATGATGCAGTATATCACAATGGTTCCGGGGTTTTGCTGGCTGGTCCCTGCTTTGGAAAAAGTAATCGACAACTTGGGTGAAATAATCAGCAGGCAGCTCTTTGTTTTGTTTTCCCACTTCCTTTTACCCATTTCAGGTTTCACTTCAGGACAGTTGCCTGGTGCTGAATGTTGCAAGTCTCGCCAGGAACACCTGACAAGCCAGGGTCTGCCTAGATGCCCGGTGATGTTTTAGGACTGCTTACCAGATCACACCTGGGGACGCTGGACACAAACTGGGCCCCTTGGCAGCCTAGGATAAATCCAGCTAGATTTAAGAGGACGCAAACCACAGACAGCAGCACAAAGAGGTTTACCTGAAATGGCAAGAGAATGGACAGTTAGTAAAAGATAACAGCTAAATTCAGACAAAGTTTTATCTAATTTTAAAACCTCATATTCTCTTCCAAGACGAAATTTTTTTAAAAAAGATCAGAACCGTGTTTTTAATGTGACAAACTTTTTTTCACATTTTAGAGTTGTTAAAATTGTGCTGAGGGATGCCATTGACTCTTAAGTCTTCTCAATAACCTCAAGTCCTTATTTTTTCCTCTTTGAAAATAATTCTTCCTCCCTTATCTTTCATCCACACATTACATTAAGCCCTAGCTATTTCCTCCTTGAGCCACTCTTATTTTTTTTCTTTTAGTTTTGTGGGATCAGCAGCAAATAAACAAATGGAGAACTCTGGAATATAAGTGAAACCCAGGTACATCAAGGAGCTCAGAGCCTTTACTATCCAGAAATCACAGTATGCAAATGGACATAAAGATGGGTCCTTCTTTCAGTTCTGAACACTTCAGGTACTAAAGAATACACGCACAAAGATTTTCCATGTGCTTTTCTCTAAAGTTAATTATTACAAATATTACTCCGAATAATTAAAAAATTGATAGTAGTCAACTGAGAAGCCAGTATTTACTTAGTACAAGTTAGAGATTATGCAGGCTTTTCAACTTGAGAGCCATGATTATTAAGAAAATTAAATCTTACTGCAAATACAAAAGATTAGAGGAAATAATTATCAGTGTTAGAACCAAGCGTCAATTCAGGTAGCTGATATGTCAGAGCTGGCTGGTAAATGAGTTCACATATGAACAAGAAACCTTGTTCTTTAACTATTGTTATTCCAAGTCAAGCTTGAAAGCATTTCCCAAGACCCATTTTGAGTCAGTGTTTAATATCACATGATGCCACTTTACCTAGGGGGAATTCCTCCTTCTCTCCAAGAGAAGTTTGGCTTCTTTCCTTTTATTGTTAATTTGGATACAGCCTGCCATCAGATTTTAGGGAAAATACTAATGGAAGCTGCTGTTGTTACTGTTTCCCAGGCTGGATTCCTCGGTGTCTACTGGACTTGACTTGAGCAGCATATAGAATATGTCCCCTCCTGCACTGTATCATTTATGATTATGCCACAGTTTCTTGGAAAAGGAGAATACATAACTGGCAAAGGACAGGGCTTGATCTTCCCACATGGGCTTCTATTACACACTAGCAGTTGCTACTCAGAGAGATCTAATATATCTGGAATCTTCATACCCAATAACACAGTCACTGTTACTATGGAAAAGTCTTGAGTTTTCCTTTGGAAGTTTTCTTTTAAGACAGTGTACAATGCCTTGAAAAGAAAGTGTGGTTATAATGCCCATCAGCACGCCAATAAAAATTAACATCATCAGCTATAAAATGGGTGAGGGCCCATTACTCCTAACACCAAACCCAAAATCTCTTCACTAAAATCTTAAAGCCAGCCCACTGAAGGACACAGTTAGGAAAATCAATAGTAGGCAAGCTACAGACCGGTAGAAAATATTTTCATGCATACATTCAACAACAACTTGTGTCCAGAATATACAAGTAACTCCTCAAATCAATAATAAAGAGACAAGCAACCCAATTAAAAATTGGGGCAAAAGACTTAAATAGACATTTCATACAGACACACAAAAAATATAAGACTAGCCAAAAAGCACATGAAAAGGTGTTCAACATAATTAGTTGTCACAAGTGCAAAGTAAAAACCAAATGAGATACCATTTCACACCAACTAGAATGGTTAAAATGTAAAAGACTGACAAAACCAAGTGCTGGTGAGAATGAGGAACACTTGGACTCTCAGACACTGCTTGTGCAAGTATAAGATGGCACAACCACTTTAGAAAATTGTTTGTCATATGAAAAAAAAGCTCATCATCACTGGTCATTAGAGAAATGCAAATCAAAACCACAATGAGATACCATCTCATGCCAGTTAGAATGGCGATCATTAAAAAGTCAAGAAACAATAAATGCTGGAGAGGATGTGGAGAAATAGGAACGCTTTTACACTGTTGGTGGAAGTGTAAATTAGTTCAACCATTGTGGAAGACAGTGTGGTGATTCCTCAAGGATCTAGAACCAGAAATTCCATTTGACCCAGCAATCCCATTACTGAGTATATACCCAAAGGATTATAAATCATTCTACTATCAAGACACACACACACACTTATGTTTATTGCAGCACTATTCACAATACCAAAGACTTGGAACCAACCCAAATGCCTATCAATGACAGACTGGATAAAGAAAATTTGGCACATACACATCATGGAATACTATGCAGCCATAAAAAAGGATGAGTTCATGTCCTTTGCAGGGACATGGACGAAGCTGGAAACCATCATTCTCAGCAAACTAACACAGGAATAGAAAACCAAACACCACATGTTCTCACTCACAAGTGGGAGTTGAACAATGAGAACACATGGACACAGGGAGGGCACCTTCACACACCAGGGCCTGCCAGGGCTGGGGGGCTAGGAAAGGGAGAGCATTAGGAGAAATACCTAATGTAGATGAGGGTTGATGGGTGCAGCAAACCACCATGGCACGTGTATACCTATGTAACAAACCTGCATGTTCTGCACATGTATCCCAGAACTTAAAGTATAATAAAAGAAAAAAAAAGAAAATTGTTTGTCAGTTTCTTAAAAATTAAATATAAATCTCGCATGCAGAAGAATTGCAAATAATTTATGAAGCCACTGCCAAATTCTACCAAACTTATAAAGAAGAACTAACACCAATTCTCCTCAAGCTATTACAAAAAATTGAAGGAGAGGGAATTCTCCCTAACACATTTACAAAGCTAGCATTATCCTAATACCAACACCAGACAAGGACACAACAAAAAAAAAGAAAATATCCAATGTCCCTGATGAACATAGACACAAAAATCCTCAATAAAATGCTAGCAAACTGAATCCAACAGCACATCAAAAAGATATACATCATGATCAAATGGAATTTATCCCATTCATGCAAGGATAGTTCAACTTACCCAAATCAATAAATGTGATACATCACATCATGAGAATGAAGGACAGAAAGCACATGATCCTCAAATTTAACATCCCTTCAACAGACTAGGCATAGAAGAAACATACCTCAACATAATAAAGACCATAAATGAAAAACCCACAGCTAACACCATATTGAATGAGGAAAAGCTGAAAGCCTTTCCTGTAAGAACTGGAACGAGAAAAGGATGCCCACTTTTACTACTTCTATTCAACACAGTACTAGAAGTCCTACCCAGAGCAATCAAGAAAGAGAAAGAAAGAAAAGGCATCCAAATTAGTGCAGAGGAAGTCAAATTGTTCCTCTTTGCAGATGACATAATCTTATAGCTAGAAAAATCTAAAGACTCCCCCAAAAGACTCTTAAATCTGATAAATAAATTCAGTAAAGTTTCAGGATACAAAATCAACATTTAGAAAATCAGTAGCATTTATATACACCAATAACAAATGAGCTGAGAAAGAAATAAAGAAGGCAATCCCATTTACAATAGCTACAAATATATATATACACACATACATATACACATATATATGTGTGTGTGTATGTTTATTGCAGTACTATTCACAATAGCTAAGCTACGGAAGCCACCTAAGTGTCCATCAGCAGATGAATGAATCAAGAATATATGGTAATATATGGTATATATACATATTGAAAAGTTTAACTGGTCATAAAAAAGAATGAAATCCAGTCATTCGCAGCAACCTGAATGGAACTGGAGGCCCTTTTGTTAAGGGAAATAAGTCAGGCACAGAAAGATAAATATTGCATGTTCTCATTCACATGTGGGCGCTTAAACAGTTAATCTCACGGAGATAGAGAGTAGATATAGTCACCAGAGACTGAGATGGGTGCATGTGGGGTGTGGGGGATAGGATCAAGGAAGAGAGGTTGGTTAATGGATACAAACATACAATTAGATAGAAGGAATAAGTTCTAATGTTTGAAAGCAGAGTAGGGTGACTATAGTTAACAAAAATATATTGTATATTTCAAAATAGCTAGAAGTCTTGAAATGTCCCCCAATACATAGAAATGATAAATACTCAAGGTGAGGGATATCCTAAATACCCTGATTTGATCATTATATGATCATTATTTTGTTGCTATCCATGTAACAAAATAGCACGTTTAACCCATATGTCCATATATTATGTATCAATGTTTTAAAACTGCATTGAGTGAAATTAGCCAGATACTGTATGATTTCACTTACTTAAAGTTAAGGAATAGACAAAATAACCTATAGTGATAGAAATTAGAAGAGCAATTGCCTATTTGGGAGGAGGGCAGGGAGGGAGAAGATTGACTGGAAACACAAGAAAGAATGTTCTGGGGTGATAAAAATATTCCACCTCTTGTTTTGGGTGGTAGTTACATGCAGTATTCAAATTGTCAAAATGTAGCTAACTGAACACTTGCAATCTGGAACAGGACTGTAGATAAATCATACTTACCTTATTTTTTAAAAGAAAATCCTAAATCCAGCAGTCAAGGCAGGATTGTGAGATCATACAATGAATGTGGCTACTTCTAAAATGTCTGATTGGCAAACAAGCTGAGAGAAGGCTCCAGGGAGTCACTGCCTGGTAGGCTTCATTTCCCTCCTATACTGGAGGGGCTGCCAAGTACAAGTCAAAGTCAAACCGTTAGAATGCCTCTCCTGCAAAGCCCAGAAGGAAGACCTGGGGTTTCACTGGTACACATAGACTCCGTACAAAATCGCCATGCACTGTTCTTCAACTTTATTCCTGCATATGACTTTACTATTATGTTATTAAAACTCTGGTCAAACTTAGCCAAATGGTCACCTGAATTACCCTAGCACAGACAACTGTGGCATACATCAGACATAGCTCTTTCAGAAGTTGGATCATCTTCCAGGATACAAAATATTGGAGTCATAAAGAACTCAGGGTTTACAGGGACCTTCAGAATGGACCCCTCTAGCTTTAACCTGGTTAAAATGT